ACAGGACAATCTGTCATCATTACCATATCATACCACCTTTTCACATTTCAGCACCCTTTTCACCCTATCATATCACCGACATCATGTTATCACATCATCACATCACTCACGGAAAGGCCTCTTCCCCACTGGGCCATGCCCTTGGAAGGAGTTTGAAGACCTTTCCCTTGGTCCAGCCCCATGTGTTTCCTGTACTTCCCAAATGTCCAGGTAGAAGGTTCTGAACCAAGTAGAAGGTAACTGTTTTGAGTGTCCCTTCAGAGTATCCAACTGACTCTGCTACCATATTCCAAGATCCTAGGCCCCATTTCCTGTCATGTTGCGAATGAGCTGAGATGACATAACTGATTTCTAAAAGGAGCAATACTGCTCTTCCTAGTTGGCTGAGAGGCCTGCCTGTGGCCTGTCCCCCTTGGATAGTACTGGAAGAGTACCTGCAGGAAAAAGGTCAAACCCTTTGGGTGGGTTTGTGGTGGGGCTTTGAGTCAGTTTTCCAAAACATCCAGACCCTGGACCAGGACAAACCAATGTCCAGGGTGAAAACAGCCCCACTCGGGGTCTCAGTGAGGAGGGATCCCTGGTCAGGGGAACCCCATGACCAGCCAGCCCAGCACCCAACCCCATCCCAGCCAGCCCAGCACTTTTCTGCCTTTGTAGCATTTCTGCATTTGAACTGCTGACAAGACACGCCAGAATCTTGTTGAGATCAGGTGACAGCTGCCCTGTCCTGCCTCCCTCAGCCATAATTCTCTGATCTCACACTCACTACCTCACTTATTCTTTCACTCACTCACTTTGTCACACATTCATTCACTCATACTCATCATTCCCTCCTCATGCACTCACTATCTCATACTCATTTATTACCTCATTGTCTCATTCAATCACTCTCTCACATTTAGTCACTCACACACCCATTATGTAACACTCATTTATATTCGATCGCTCATTCATTCTCTTGTTCACTCACTCATTCTCTGTTTTATTTACTTGTATGTCTGTACCCTTCACGAACTGCTTCAGGGTAGAGGTCTTATGGCACTCACATTGCAGACAGAAGCAGTCAGCCATGGCAGGAGTTTCAGGACCTGTGTGTTCCGCAAAGTATGGGAACTCTGATCCCACCTGTGTGTCATGTGCCAACGAGTGGCCTTGCCTGGGGTTAGGGCATGTGTCTGGGTATCATTTCCCTCACCCCAGCCTCTCTGTCCTGGCATTGCATCAGAAGCCAACTGGCATAGTTGCTGGACTCTGCCAGCCACAAGGAGTGGGCAGTGCCGAGACGACCCTGTGCCTGCCCCATGAGGTGTGACTTTGAGTGGATGTTCCAAGCCTTGGCCATGCTGCAGACCAGCAGGGGCTATACCCTGAGATGGAAAAGTGCAAATGTGTCCCTATCGGTCTACTCCCCTGATATTGCTTTTCTTCACTCTCTCCAGAGCTAAGATGATTACCAAGAACCAGGCCCTGGGAGGGGACAGTGGCTGGTAATGGCCTCGTGCCTCTGTAGTCTAAAGGTCCTTGAGGAGACTAAAGGGGGCTTTCGTTCTACTAGCAGTGAGCAAGTCTTCCTGCCAGTCTTCAGGGCCAATGCAGAGGAGGCTCCTGGGCTGCAGGTAAAGGGGCCAGAAGCTGATGCATTTGATGGCGCAGTGTGCAGGCTACATGCAGGGAGAGGAGGCATGGACCAGAGCCAGAGGCCTGGAGGGCAGAGCAGCAGCATCTGTGACACTGTCACCAGCTGAAGGGCATCAGGGTTCAGAGTGATAGTTGAGCACCCCAGTGGTGGGCAAGAGCTGTGAGGCAGGGCAGAGTGTCTCTGCTTCACATTCAGGATTTGGGGAAGCTGTCCAGTGAGAGGAATCAGACCCAGGCCACTGATTATGTGACAGTGGGTCCCTCTGCCCTCCCCAGCACAGACACTCAATGGCCAGCCTTGCTGAGGAGTCATGGGTTCCTGTGCCTTCCAAATCCTTCCAAATGGGAGACCATTGGCTTGGCCACGTGCACCGTGTCACCTGGCTACCGACATCCCTCCTCGGGCTGCCTGGCAGGGGACCTGTCCTGCCTGATTTATTTGTACTGAGCAATGCTGTGATATCCAGGCTTAGCCATTTACAGGACAAAGTATAAAAGGCATGAAAATGAGCAAGGCGAGTGCTGCTACCCTTGCAGTGTGCAACCAGATGGATCTGGGCTCTCTGCCCCTGTGGGTAGTGTCCCCTGGCCTGGGCAGAGCCATCCTCTTGCTCCTAGAGCACCAGGGAGTGGCTGAATGCAGGGAACAGAGTCCAGAGAAGCAGAAGGATCTTGTTTCAGGAAGCGGCTGTGGTTTCCACATGTGAGAGCTCATCCCAAAGGTTAAGTCAGGCCCTGTGGATACTGAATGTTTGGTATGCCATCAGCAAATTCATTTCAGCATTGATACATGCATCTGCATTCCGGTTAGACCCCCCTTTGAACTGGGTCTGTCATCTTCCTGGCCCTTCATTCAGTAGCAAGTAAATAAAAACTTGGAAGTGTATTTCTTTTATACTTGCACAACTCATGATTTTACTTTTATATGTATATGTATGTATGTATATACATATATAATATTTGGGGGCCAGGAGATGCCACAAAGGTCTTGGGTACAAGTTTTGCATGCTGGGGGCCTGGGTTCAATCCTTATGAACCCTTATGGTTCCCTGAGCACCATGCTGGAAGCAGCTCCTGATCAGTGAGTTTATTTTAGAAAGACCGGTATCTTTGCGAGACTGATAAGAGAAAAAGATGTACCAAAGGTGTTTGTGGGTGGGTGGGGTGATTGGGAGGGAGCCCTGAGACAGCAGTAGAGAGAAGTAAATACTCTGGTGGCAAATGTGGTGTTGGAAGAACAAGGAAAATAAAAAATAAAAACAAATTGCAACTTTGGGCATGGAGTATCAGCTCAGAGGCCTGAGCATGTTTTGGATGCTGGAATCCCAGGCTCAATAACTGGCATCACATGGTCCTCCAAGCACCCCTAAGCCAAAACAACCCCCTCTCCCCCCAAAAAAAAAAAGAATTTCAGACTTGTAACTTTCTTGGCAATAGGGGAGTTGCCATTCACTGAACTTTCATGATTGAAGTGGCAGTCGTTCTTCCTTAGCACGGGGTGTTGCAATGTCCACTCATGGCACAGTAGCACTGTCTGCCATGGGCTGGCACAAGACCCTTGAAGACTTGAAGCCAGTGAGTATTGTCGCTTCCTGGAAGCCCAGTCCCAGAACTGAATGGATGCCATAGGCCGTACTTATCCAGGGGTGCCTGCGGAGAGTACCTAAGCTCCTGCTTTCAGTGGCAGCTCCAGGACACCAAGTCCAGGACTGGCTCTCAGCAGTGGGCAGCACATTGAGGGGACAATGACTTCCTGGATCCTTCTCTTCTCAGCGTCCGCAATGGCTGGTCCACCTGGGATGGTGCAGATGGTGGATACTGGCACAGTCCGTGTGCTGTCCTGGGCAGCTCACAGGGGTGCTGGGTCCCCACTGCAGCCCCCCTCATGGAAGCCAGTCCCCGTTTTCCCATTACTGTACTCTGGACTACAGCCTGGACAGTGGGAGGAAAGTCTAACCTTGTCCTCTTCCTTCTGGGTTCTAGGCAAGAGAAAGGCAGTTGATCAGCACATACCCAGAGGTTCTGTGGAGAATAATGGGGAGACATGAAGACTCCTTGGCCCCTCTGGATGGTCTCCACTTGTCTCCTGGAAAAGCAAGGATGAGGGACCCCTTTACATAGGTGTGATCTGCTTGGAGGCAGAAGAGCTTTTCATAACTCTTCTCAGCATCTTCAAACCCAAGCCTCGTGCTAAAGTGACATATTTGGGGGGTGCAAGTCCTGTCAGCATCGTCCACCTCATCTCCCTCCCAGAGCCCAGCAATACACCCATTACCCAGTTGTTTAAAGCAAAGCTGCTCCCAGAGCACCAATTCCAGAAAAGTTTTCCTTGGCAACAAAGTCTTGAACTGCTTTTCTTACAATGTTAAAGTCCATTTTTACTTTTCTGATCAGTGTTTCTACTTGAACTGGCCTTGCTACCACTGAGCCAGTACAAGGAAAAGAACTTTTTAAATTTAATTCTGTTAGTTTTAAAATACTGGAGCTCCGATAGCACAGCGGTAGGGTGTTTGCCTTGTGCACAGCAGGCCTGGCTGAGCCGGGTTCGATTCCTCCGTCCCTCTCGGAGAGCCCAGCAAGCTACTGAGAGTATCTCGCCTGCATGGCGAAGCCTGGCAAGCTACCCATGACATATTTAATATGCCAAACACAGTAACAAGTCTCACGATGGAGACGTTACTGGCCCCGCTGGAGCAAATTGATGAACAACGGGAGGACAGTTTTAAAATTTTGAGCCACACTCTGTGATGCTTTGGTGGTGGTGGTGGTGGGGTGCTCCCAGCATTGCTTTGGGGACCAGGTGGTGCCAGGTGGAACCCAGGGTCTCTTGCATCCCCTCCCAGTTCCCCTTTCTTCTCCACCTTCTGGCACTGAGCTCTATTGCCCCAGAAAATCACCTTTCAAGGGGTGTACAGTCTGAAACAGCTCTGGTTTTGCCGTGGGCTGTCGAACCTTAGTTTGATCGGAAAAGGGTGGAAGGACGTTCCTGCTCGTTAACTCACGGCAGCTGTTCCCCGCGAAGGGCAGACCTTTCGGGCCGCAAGAGGGAAGGGTGTCGCGGGGCTGAAACGACCGCGACTCCGGTCGACTCCAGTTGAGGGGTGCCGGCTCCTGCTCCCTCAGCCTTGGTCTGCGGTCTCTGGCCGTCCTGCCAACGATCGGAGCAGCGAGGCCATCCCTGAGCACGGGGGACCTGGCAAGGGCTCCCACCCAGATTCTGCTCCCGCTCTGGACCGAGCTAGGACGGAGCTGCAAAGCTGGCGCCTTTCGAGAAGCTCCCGGGGCGGTGTCCCCGAGTGACGGACATCTCTCTTCGCCAATCGGGGGCGGCGAGCCCGGGCTGCGCCTCCCGCGCAGGCGCCGCAGCCAGCGTGGGCGGGGCCGGCGCCCGTGTCATGGAGCGGCCCTCGGGAGCGGGCGCCCTGGTGGTAGGTCCGCTGGGCTGTCCGGACGCCCCTCGCCCCCGCACGCGCCCTGCCCCCTCCCGGTTCCCCATCCCTTCTCCACCCTCCTCTGCAGACCGCTCCTCCCCGCAGCCCTCCTCTGGGTTCCCCTTCTTTCGGACCTCTTCCCTCCCCCTACCCCCCCACCCCGTCCCCCGCCTCACCCCTCGTGCCCCATCCTCTCACCCCTCCTCCTGAGCCCCCCTCCCCACTTTATTTCCCTCCTTCCGGTTGCCGGTCCCGCATTCCTGCCACTCGGTACTGCTCTCAGTACTCCGCTTGCCTGCGGCTTCCCTGCCCAGATCATTAGTGTTGAAAATGCCGGCCGGGCCGGGAGCCGGCGCCGAGGTCCGAATCGGGTGCTCTTGTGGGACCGTGCTCGTCCCGTCCCGCCCGGCCCGCGAGTATCACGGCCCCCCCGCAAAAGCTGAGACGAGCCGCCGCCCACCGCCCCGTCGGCACCCTGAGGGGACAGCCGAGCCCCAGCACACTAGTCCACCCTGAGGGGACAGCCGAGCCCGGCCGCGGGGCAGACTCTGAGGGCTGCCACTTTTTTTTTTATTTTTATTAGTGAAACACCATGAGGTACAGTTGTAGACTTATAAATTTTTGTGCTTGCTTTGATCACGTGCGCAGTCAAGTAGCTGAGGGAATCGCTTCTCAGCACCTGGACCCACGGGCTTTCTTAAAATTCACATGAATAAATGGTTGGATCCAGTGTTTTTAAAATGCTATTTTCATACCTATGTACGATGCACATGCACACACTGTGTTGTCTGTCCACACAGGCTCACCTGCCTGGCTTGGGTTCTGTCAGGGTTGGGTTGCAGGTCACCACAGTTTGTCTGAGGAGACTTTCTTGCTATCAGATGCTTTCTTGACTTGCCTCTTGAGAAATTTCTCTTTTATTTGGATGCAGACAAGACAGTACCAAACCCTCCATGTAGAATGCACCGAGGTGGGTGGGACTATCACCACCACCCCTCCTGGAGGGTTTCTCTGAGGAAACTCTGTGGCATTCCTTAGGGTTCCTGAAAATGCTTATCCTGCAAAGGGCCAGTCTGATTTTTGTGGGCTGAAAGACACTCCATCTTTTTTCCACCACAATCTTTCTGGGCTAGGGTGTTGACTCAGAGGGTGGGAGTGCAGTCTTTTGTGCTGCAGACCTGGGGTTGATCCCCAGCACCACATGGTCACCCAAGCACAAAATCCAGAACAGAATGAAATGATGTTTCTGATTGGAAAACACAAATCTTCCATGAAGTTAGGATGGGTGATTTTGTTTGTTTTTTGGTTTGGGGCCACACCTGGAGATGTTCAGGTGTTACTCTTGGCTCTGCTCTTAGGGATTACTCCTGGAGGGACTATATCGGAAGCTAGAGTTTGAACCTGGGTCAGCTATGTGTAAGATAGACACCTCTCTGTTCCTAGCTCTCCAGCCACAACGTTGGGACAGTTTCTGTTGCCTTTCAGAGTTTTTGTTTCGTTCAGAGCATTCAGAAGCCAACTCTGAGAGTCTATGGCATAGTCATAGGAGTGTGATGGGGAGAAGGTAGGAAGAGAGGCATTAGTGTCTGCACCGTAACTGTTGCTCTGTGCCTTTTGGGTCCAGTCTGTCATCCTCCCGGTGCACAATGCCGAGCTGTGGCTGGACGAGTGTTTGCAGTCCGTTTGGCAGCAGGACTTCGAAGGCCCCATGGAGCTCTCTGTGTTTGATGATGCCAGTCAGGTATGGTCATGGGCAATCCTTGGGGATCTAAGACCTTACTGAAGTTCTGAAGGAGGGCTCCTGACCTGCCAACATCTTCGTTTTCAGGACAAGTCTATGGCTATCATTGAAAAATGGAAGGTGACACTTGAAAGTTCTGGTATCCTTGTGATCATTGGAGGACACAGTGCTCCTTCCCCTCGGGGAGGTCAGTAAACATGTTTGATTGTTGTTTGACTGTGACAAATGCTCTCTTACCTGTACACTTAAATTTTCTTGTTCAAACTCCAGTGGAGAGTATCCTGAGTGTATATCTGCAATTTATTAAAAACTCAATAGAGAGGCTGGAGTGATAGCACAGCGAGTAGGGCATTTGCCTTCCATGCGGCCGACCCGGGTTCAATTCCCAGCATCCCATTTGTTCCCCTGAACACTGCCAGGAGTGATTCCTGAGTGCAAAGCCAGGAGTAACCCCTGAGCATCGCCAGGTGTGATCCAAAAAGAAAAAAAAAAAAGTAAAAACCCAGTAGACCTTTTTTTTCTGTAGTAAGAATTTGTGTAGGATCACTGCCCCTTTTCTCTTTATTAATCATTTGTTTGTTTCTTTGTTTGGGGGCCACACCTGACTGTGCTAAGGGATTATTTCTGGCGGTGCTCAGGGGACCATATGGGATGCTGGGGATTGAATTTAGGTTGGCCACGTGCAAAGCCTACTTTGACTTGAATCTTTAAATTATTGCCCTACCTGCTGAACAATCTCTCTAGCCCCTCTCCTTGTTAATCTAACAAAAAGCTCTCAAAGATTTTGTTGGTCACCTCTACTTAATTTTTTTTTTGTGATCAGATGTATTTTTGTTCAGTGTTTTAACTTTCTTAAAGAATCAGTTTTTAGTTTCATTTGTGATTTTTAATTTTCTTTTATTCCTACTCTGATCTGTATAACATTCTTTTTTTTAATCTTAACCTTGTCTTTAGTTTTTCCTTTTTCCATTTTTCCCCTTTCCGTTCCCTTTGTTCTTGCCCTGAGTATGTTAGCAGGAGTTGGGGTGGGGTGTGGGGTGCTGGCACACAGGGTCCTGGTGAACTGGAAGAGATCACACACTTGGTTGCAGTGCCTCAGGATGGCATTGGGTATGTGGCAAGGTGCTGGGATTGGATTTACAGTCTTGGTCCCTACAAAGCAGGTGCTCTACATCAGGGCTACCTCCTGGACCCCTCTTTTCCAGTTACTAAGGTAGAAACTGGGGACATTGACCCAAGACCTTATCCTTTTTGTTTTTTCCTTTTTATTTTGTTTTGGGGCCACACCCAAAGATGTGAGGGATTACTCTTGACTCTGCACACAGGAAGCCCCCGGCGGGCTTGAGGGACCATATGGGATGCAGGGGATCAAACCAGGTTGGCTGTGTGCAAGTCAAAAGCCCTCCCCACTGTACTATCACTCTGGCCCCACTTCTTTCTTTTCTGACACTAGTGTTTAGTGATCTAAAGTGCTCTACTAAGTACTGCCTTAGCAACATCACAAACATCCAGATTTGTGTTCATTTTCATTCAGTTAAAAATACCTTCAAGTTTCCTTAATTTTATATTTGATGTATAAGTTATTTTAGAAGTATGCTTTTAAGTTTTCAAATAAGGTTTGAAAACTTACAAGTTTACAGGTTTTTCAGATATCTCTGTTATGTTTCCTAAATTAATTCACTTCTAATAAGAGAGCCTACTTTGACTTGAATCTTTAAATTATTAAGTTTAGGACGTGGAGGTGACTCCAAGGACTGGAGCCCACTCTTTGCCTGGAGCCCCAGGCTCTGCTGAGCTGGAGGCTGCACCTGAACACCACCAGGTGTGCTCAAAGACCAAAAAATAAATTAATTAGAAAAATCATGCAGTAAGTTTAGTTTATAGTCCACGTTATGACCTATCTTGGCAAATACTTGGTATGCATCCTCTGTATTCCAGAAACTAGATCTGTACTAGATATATGATTCACAAATATCTTCTCTCATTCTCTGGATTGTGTTAACTCTTACGGGAATAACCCTTGATGCACATACGTTATACTTTTTTGTTTTGTTTTGGGGCAATACCTGGTGGTTCTTGGGGCTTACCCCTGGCTGTGAGCTCAGACCACTCCTGGTGGGCTCAGTGGACCAGATCCATGTGGGGCAAGTGCTTTACCCACTGTACTGTCTCTACAGTCATCAAAATTTTAATTTCAACAAAATCTGATTTTTTTCTTTTTGTTGAATGCGCTTTTGTTATCATAGCTAAGAAACCATTGCTAAGTCATCTTCATGAAAATTCACCCCCATGTTTTCTTAAAAAACTTTTATAGTTGGAACTCTTGTATTTAGGTCTTTGTCCCATTTTTGAGCTAATTGTTATATATGGCATGAGGTGGGAGTCCAGCTTCATTCTATTTATTGTGGATATCCATTTGTCTCAGCATTTCTCCATTGAAAGTGTTGGCACCCTTGCTGAAAATCAATTGAACATACACACTGTTTTGATTACTGTAGCTTTGTGGTAAGTTTTGTAATTGAGAAGTGTGAGTTCTTCCTTTTTGTTTTTAGTTTTCAAAATTTTAGATTGGGATTTTTTAATGTTGTTATATGAATTTAAAAATTAGATCTTGGGGCTAGAGAGATAGCACAGCGGGTAGGGCGTTTGCCTTGCACGCAGCCGACCCAGGTTCGATTCCCAGCATCCCATATGGTCCCTTGAGCATCGCCAGGAGTGATTTCTGAGTGCAGAGCCAGGAGTAACCCCTGTGCATCGCCAGGTGTGACCCAAAAAGCAAAACAAAAAAAATTAGATCTCAAAAAATAAAATTAAAAATTAAATCTCCCATTTCTGCAAGAACACCATTGGATTTTAATTGGGATTGCATCACATCTGTAGATCTCATTGGGGAGTATTTCCTTTTAAGCAATGTTTAGTCTTCTAACCCATGGACTTGAAATGTTTTTCCATTGACTTCGGTTTCTTAAAATTTTTCACATTTGGGGGCTGTAGTGATAGCACAGCGGGTAGGGTGTTTGCCTTGCATGCGGCCAACTGGGGTTTGATTCCCAGCATCCCATATGGTCCCCTGAGCACCGCCAGGGGTAATTCCTGAGTGCAGAACCAGGAGTAACCCCTGTAAATTGCCAGGTACAACCCAAAGAAGAAAAAAAAATGGGGCTGGAGAGATAGCACAGCGGGTAGGGCATTTACCTTGCATGTGGCTGACCCGGGTTCGATTCCCAGCATCCTATATGGTCCCCTGAGCACCGCCAGGATTAACTCCTGAGTGCAGAGCCAGGAGTAACCCTTGTGCATCGCCAGGTGTGACCCAAAAAGCAAAAAAAAAAAAGAAAAAGAAAAATTAGGTTTGTTTTATAACCCTCAGTTCTCAAATCTTTTGTCTTTTCCATTAAAATAAGTCTTAAGTATTTTATTATTTTTATGCTATTGCGAATGGAGCCTTTGTCTTTTTTTCTTTTGAGGCATACACAGTGACGCTCAGAGCTGATTCCTGACTCTGTGCTTCAGGTTACATGCCTGATGGTGATTGGGGGACTATATAGGGTGCAGGGAATTGAAATCAGTTTGGTCCCTGGCATTCCCATATGATCCCCCAAGTACTGCCAGGAGTAATTCCTTTGCATAACTGGGTGTGACCCAAAACATGAAACAAAGCAAAAATCGTGGTTCAATCCTAGTGTATAGAAAAACAATTGATTTTTCTGAATGATTATCTTACATCCTGCAATTTTGATGAACTTGTTTGTTAACAAGTTAGCTCAACAAGTTAATTCATTTTTTATTTCCTCTAACAGTTTCTTTTTTCTTTTCTCTTTAGTGAGATGCTGTTTCCGTTTTCTTTAGGATTTTATTTAACATCATGTTATCTATGACTAGAGATAGTTTTACTTCTTCCTTTTTAATGATTACTGTTATTGTTACTTGCCCAATTTCTCTGCTAGAACTCCCAGTACAGCCCTACTCTTTTGTTTTTGTTTTTGTTTTTGTTTTGTGGCCACATCTGTCAGTACTGGTGGGGTGGGGGTTGCTAACAGCTTTAAGCTTAGGGGTTCTGGGGACCATGTGGTGCTGGGAATAGACCCTGGGCCTCCTGCAGGCAAAGTCTGTGCCTCAGACTGTTGAGCTCATGCTCTGCCACCAGGCACCCCTCTCTAGTCCCTGACATTAGGGGGAACACAGGCTTCTAGTATTTCACTTCTGAACATGATGTCACCTGTGTCCTTTTTAAAATAATGAGGTTTTAAATTGAGAAATTGTGATTCGAGGAGATGTTCATAACGGCATCCATAACTGGGTTTAGGCAAACATTGTTCCAACTCCGATGTCACCTCTGGTGTCAGTTTCTCTCCACCAGAGAACCCAGGTCAAAAAGGCAGATTTCCTCCTGCAGCCTGCCTCTGTGACCTGGGTTCTTTAGTCACTGTCCTCCCATTGTTCATTGATTTGCCTTGCACACGGCCTACCGGGCTGACTCGGGTTTGATTCCTCCACCCCTCTCAGAGAGCCCGGCAAGCTACCGAGAGTATCTCACCCACACAGCAAAGCCTGGCAAGCTACCCGTGACGTATTCGATATGCCAAACACAGTAACAACAAGTCTCACAATGGAGACGTGTGCAAGGCAGATGCCTTACCTGCTGTGCTATCGCTCCAGCCATAGGGTTCTTTAGTAAGAATGCTTTATCATGCTGGATAAGTTGCTTTCTATTTTGCTCAGTGTCTTCTTAGGAAGGATGATGAATCTTACTCAGGTGTTTCTGGAAGCAGTTGATCTCAACTGTAGTATTTCCCCCTTTATTTGCTCAAGGTGGTATAATATAATGATTGATTTCATATATTGAACCATCCTTGCATTATTGAGAAAAAATCTCACTTGGTCATGGTGTAAAATTTTTTAATGTGCTAGGTGATTCTTTTTAAATTTTTTAATGTGCTAGTTTATTCAGAAATTCTACATATATGTTCATAAAGGGCATTGATGTGTCATTATCTATTGTTGTAAGTAAGATCTTTGACTAAGAGTAATTGTGGCCTCATGGATGAATTAAGATGGTTTCTGGGAGAGAGAATACATGTACAGGGGTTAAGGTGTTTGCCTTACATGTGACTGACCCTGGTTTGATTTGGGTACCACAAAAGATCCCCTGAGCATCACCAGAGGTTACTCCTGAATACAGAGCCA